AAAATTCAAGCTGCTCTAGGTCGGATTCTGCGTGGGGCTGGAGGCCCCAGTAAGGCTTGAATGTGTTGCTCATCGGTGCAAAACCTGCCCAAGACTCCGCTGTCAGAGTAAAAGCCACCGTTTTTTCATGGCCAGACATTCCTTCACCACCAGGTTCCTGAAACTCACTGCATCCCTCTCCTAATTTTGACCCCCTCGCTTTACTCCAGCCACATAGGTCATTGGCCGTGCCTACTTCTTCCTCTGGGACACAGAACTTACTGTCCTCAAACATCCCCAGGGCTCCCTCCCTCGCCTCATTTGAGGCTTGGCTCCAACATTCCTGACTCGAAAAGGCCTCTAATCTCCTGATTTTACAAATCTGACTCCCTGATCCCACATTCCCGATGGGCTCCATTGCATTTGTCACCTAATATACACTAAAACTTCTTTATCTTATTTGGTGTCCTCTCTCCATATGAAGGCAGCAGTTTTGTCTCTTTTGTCATCGCTGCATCCCTAGTTCCTAGATAGAAGCTGGCACGTGGTAGGTGTTCATTATTTGTTGAGTGAATGGATGTATTTCAAAATTAGAGGGATAAGTAGTGGTTAAGTGCCAGAGGTTTAGGGGCTTGGGTCCCAGTCCCCCTTTGTCACTTAGCTTCTTTGTGACTTTTAGGAAGTTTAACCTTTCTGAGTCTCGGTTTTTTATATATTTTTAAATTACATTTTTATTGATTTCAGAGAGGAAGGGAGGGGGGAGAGAGAGAGAAACATCAATGATGAAAGAGAATCATTGATCGGCTGTCTCTTGCACATCTCACACTAGAGAATGAGCCCAAAACCCAGGCATGGGCCCTGACTCGGAATCAAACCGTGACCTCCTGGTTCATAGGTCAACACTCAACCACTGAGCTACCCCGGCCTGGCTCAGTTTCCTCATTTTTTATATCAATGAAATGATACTTCTTCCTTTCATTCAACAATATGAAACACTTCCCCGGGTGACCAGCACACGGCCAGTGGCTGGAGTCGTAATGGAGAACCTCAATGCACATGTTTCCTCCCTCCCCTGGAGTCTATATCCTGAGGAAGTGTTACAGACAATAGCCATACAGTCATCCAAATAAACGGTTATTCACAAATTGTGACAGAGGACAAGCAATTAGTGCTAAAGGGGTGAGGGTGGGAAAGAGCTCTCCTGAGGCAGCGACTTCTTCATTCTATTAGTCAGCTTGGGCTGTCAGTACGAAATGCCACAGGCTCGGTGGCTGAAACAACGGGAATTTATTTCCTCACAGTCCTGGAAGGAAGAAGTCCAAGATCAAGGTGTCAGCAAGTTTGGTTTCTCCTGAGGCCTCTCTCCTTGGCTTGCAGGTGGTCGCCTTCTTGCTGTGCCCTCACACGGTCTTTCCTCTGGGCACTTGCACTCCTGGTGTCTCTCCCGGGGTCCTAATCTCCTCCTGTAAGGACACCAGTCAGATTGGATTGGAGCCCACCCTAGCGGCCTCATTTTAACATAATTACCTCCTTAAAAGCACCACCAGGCTTGAAATACAACCCCGTTCTGAGATGCTAGGGTTTAGGACTTTAGCATATGAACTGGGAAGCACAATTCAGCTCAAGCATTAATTAAGATCCAAAGGATGCCTTCCAGGCAAAGAAAGGGATATGAGTAGACATCCTGTGACAGGAAGGACTGTGACAAGTTGGAAGAAATGACAGGCCCATGTGGCCTGAGCTCAGAGTGCGGGGCCTTGGTCGGGCATTGCGGCGAGCAGCCTGTGCAGGGCCGCGGCGGCCACCCAGGTCTGTTGTTGGTGATGCGATGAGTTGCCTCATGAAAAAGTTCTCTCGCCACCAACGGGCTGGAAGGAGGCACTTCCGGCTCCAGAGTGGAGTGACAGTGAGGGCTCCCTGGCAGGCGGCATGTGAGTGTCTTACAGGGAGGGCTCAGGGCAGGGTTTTAAAATTAATTCAATGTGTTTGGGGGACATTGGTTAATAGGCTCACATAGGTTTCGCGTGTACATTACTGCGATACGTGATCTGCATGTCGCGTTGTGGACCCGCCACGCGTGGCCATGAGTGTTTCCCGTCAATGGGAAGACTGAACGGAAGAGAGGCCAGGAAGGGACTTCATCCACAGAAGCGGTGAGCAAAGAAATGTCCGAGCACACGAAGGAGAGGCATTCTAAAGTACTGAGTCTCTGCGTTCCGGCTGCTGGATACAGTGTGATTTATGACGGATGCGGTTTATGATGAAACGGGACGTTTCAGATGAAATTAATGCAAAGGAGAAAAGGTGTAGAGAGCGCAGTTGCACACGTACCCCTTTGTCGGGCTACTGGGAACCAAAACACGGTGGACATGACTTAGCGGGAAGAAGCACTCATCTTCCATTTCCTGCCTCAGGTTCAGCTCAAAGCTTCCCCTAGGTTTACCTTAGGGGAGCTGATACACAGCAGGTATTCCTAAAAGCTTGGGGTGGCGGGGTGGCCCTCTCCCGTGGGCTCCCCGTAAGGGTTGTGCTGGGCAGCAGGACGTTTTCTCACTCCATTCCCAGAAATCGGTGCCAGGAAATGGAGCCTGCTGTGGCCTCCCACCCACCATCAACTCGAATGGCGACTCCACCCTTCGATGATTTAACACAGACTCACTGCCTCTTTTCCTCGGGAGGAGCCACAGTGAGCACTGCCTCCCCAGGGCTGCATAACTGTGACCGTCCTCTCTGACACCCTGGACTAAGGGCCATTGGCCAGGGATTGGGAAGGTACAAGGAAGCCCATTCTAATTTGGGACAGAATTGATGGTTAGAATCTGCTTTGTCATATTAGGCCACATCTACCTCTCGTAAATCCTGGTCTGGCCTTCAGGAGCAACACAGACAGACCCTAATCGCTCCTTCTGATAGCATCGAGTATGTATGGTGCCCTTCTGATGCCCCAGGTCTTCTGTTCCCAAACTGAACATCGGCTCCAAAAGAATTCTTTCCTTAACAGTGCTTTTGTGCATATCCTTCTGCATAACCCAATGGTTCTCAACCTTCCTAATGCCACGACCCTTTAATACAGTTCCTCATGTTGTGGTGACCCCCAATTTCATTGTCACAAATTGAACATAATGAAAGCATAGTGATTAATCACAAAAACAATATGTAATTATATATGTGTTTTCCAATGGTCTTAGGTGACCCCTGTGAAAGGGTCGTTCGACGCCGCCCCCACAAAGGGGTCGCGACCCACAGGTTGAGAACCGCTGGCATAACCCTTTGCATATTTGTCTTTGTTTTTCAAAAATGTATTTTTAATTGATTTCAGAGAGGAAGGGAGAAGGAGAGAGAGCTAGAAACAACGATGAGAGAGACATTTCGATCGGCTGGCTCCTACACGGCCCCTGCTGGGGATCCAGCCCGCAACCCAGGCATGGGCCCTGACTGGGAATCGAACCCGGGACCTTTTGGTCCATGGGCTGACGCTCTACCCACTGAGCTACACCAGCCAGGCTGTATACTTGTCTTGGGATACATTTCTATACACTAACCTGGTGGACAAATGGTGCCTGTTATAGCTTTCGCTGTACATTTCCAGATTGCCCCCCAGGAAGAGAGCTTTTGTTTATACGGCCACGGCGATTTAGAGAGAGCCTGGTTCCCCGCGCCCTAGCCACCAGACGGGGGCCGTTTTCACTCTTTTAATCATTGCCCGTCCCGTCCGATAGGGGAAAATAATTATCTCCTGGCTGCTTTCACTTGCATGTCTTTGATTGTGGGTGAGGTTGGACATGTTTTCCAGCCCCATCCTGTACTTTTGCAATCAAGTTTTGGAGCCCAGCGCAGGACCTTGCATGTATTCCAGTTAAATTTCATCTTGTTGGATTG